CACACACACGCCTGCCCATGCACACACACGCCAGCCCATGCACACACATGTCCCCCCCACACACGCCAGCCCATGCACACACATGTCCCCACACACACACGCCAGCCCATGCACACACACGCCTGCCCATGCACACACATGTCCCCACACACACATGCCTGCCCATATACACACGCCTGCCCATGTACACACACACCTGCCCATACACACACATGCCTGCCCATGCACACACATGTCTACCCATGCACACATGTCTGTCACTATTCACACACATGCCTGCCCATGCACACACATGCCCGCCCATGCACACACATGTCCATCCATGCACACACATGTCCCCACACACATTCCCACCCATGCATACACATGGCCACCCATGCACAGACATGTCTGCCCATGCATACACATGCCCGCCCATGCACCCACATGTCCCCCACACACATGTCCACCCATGCACACACACATCTACCCATGCACACACATGCCCGCCTGTGCACACACATGCCTGCCCGTGCACACACATGTCCACCCGCACACGTCTGCCACTATTCACACACACATGCCTGCCCATGCACACACATGTCCACCCATGCACACACATGTCTGCCCACACACATGCCCACCCATGCACACACATGTCCCCACACAGATGCCCGCCCATGCACACACATGCCCGCCCATGCACACACACGTCTGCCCATGCACACACATGCCCGCCTGTGCACACACATGCCTGCCCGTGCACACACATGTCCACCCATGCACACACATGTCTGCCCACACACATGCCTGCCCATGCACACACATGTCCGCCCACACATATGCCTGCCCATGCACACACATGTCCGCCCATGCACACACATGCCTGCCCATGCACACACATGCCTGTCCATGTACATGCATACCTGCCCATGCACACACACACACCTCCTTTCCGGATATCCAAATGCAAAGGCAATGGCCTGCAGCCAGCCAGATGTCTTACCCATACACCTGCATTTTACAGGTAGATCACCAAGAGAAATAGTTGTGACTACTTCTCCAGAACGCGTCCAGGAGTGGAGATTGGAGAAAGGTGGTGGAGGAAGGAGGGGAAAAGCAAACCCATATGGAGAGTTGCCTGCCTCTCTGGCTGCCTTTCCCAGAGCAGGGCTTGAGTCAGGGATAGTTTCAGTTCAAGACGTCACCCCTGGGGAGCCTCTGTCCCCACAACCTCTTTCTCCTTGCTCCTGCCAGTCTATTTGAGGAGACTTGCCTTGGGTGAGACCTCAGTGTCTCATCCTCATACTGGTCTATCAGATGTTTGGCATCCATACGACTGACTCTCCTGTGATGCTTCTTTAGCCAATACAGTAATTCTTTATGTGCTATTTAATACCACTTTCTCCTCGTAGGCATGCAAAGTACATCCAGCCATCTGGGGCTCACCAGACTCAGTGTTCTGCCTCGGAGTGAGTGCCAAGGGGCATCCCAGATGGAACGGGGCTTGGGGATGGGAGTGAACCTCAGATCCCTTCCGGCTCTGCTATGAGCACCTGTGTGACCCCCTCCCCTCCTGAGCCTGTGTTTTCTCGTTTGTAAAATGTCAGCATCAAACAAAGCCAGGAATGCTCTTCACAGAGAGGGGAAGCAAGGAGGGGGACACAGGCCCTTTTAGAAAACATGTTCCATTATCCAAACCCCAAGCTTGACCAAATCTTGGCTGATGGGGACAGCACACTGCAGAAGGCATGCACTGAAAAATCTTGAGAAACACTGTGCAGAATCATCTCCAAGGGCCTCGTGTCAATGAGGGATGGAGTGGGTTGGATACAGTCTCCCTGATCACAGACTCTGCTCTGAGAGACAGAGGCTGCACGCAGCCAGCTCAGACTGGCAAAGGTCAGAGAGAGGTGCCACTTTCTATTCCAGCTGAGCCGTAGGCAAAATCACTGAACAGTACAGTCTCTGTCCACAAAAATCTCTCTCTGTGTCCACTTTACCCCTGCCCTGCATGCTCCTTCCATGCCAGGTGCCCACAGTCCTCATGCCCACTGGCAATAAAAACTGTAAGCAGAGAGTCCACCATCACCCATTTAGACATCAGTTCAATGTGATTTCTTGCCCTCCGTCTTCCTGCGAGCCTTGCAGATGGCATCTTCTCTCGCCTTTTAAAGACAGCAGGCAAGGGGACCGGTCAGATCAGGGCTGGGGGTGGGGGTGGGAGATGTGGGCCTGGCACCAAGAGTGTTCCCACTGTCCCCTGGCACCTCATGGGCATCTCCACGGCGGTGGTCTCTGGGGCCAAAAGAGGCTGGCACAGCAGACAGATGCCGAAGAAGAACCCCTTGACAAGGAAATGTCTGAAGGGGAATGGGGAATTCCAAGTTCTATTCCTTCCAACCAGCCCCTCAGATCCTTGGGATCTCTTTCCTGGTTTTCAGTAAAAAAATCAAGCCCCCAGTTTTTAGGCTGACAACAAAGAGAATGCTCACATGGGGGAGGAACAGTGGCCTCGACACCCCTTTTCTTAGAGCTGGCCTGGAGTACTCCCCCCACATTACTACCATGATGGCCTCACGGGACTCCATGCCCCGAATGCCACAGTTCAAAACTCACCTCAACTTTCTCCATGGCTCCTCAGAAAACAAAGAGCTATAAACCTGGAGATTTAACAGGAAGCTAGGTCCCCTGGCAGAAGCAATGGCTTACTCAGCTCTGTGGGGAGGCCCCCAGCTGAGGAGAAGAGGGCAGGTCGCCTGCAACATCTACCCCCAGAAAGTGCCCTCAAGATGACCCTGACCTCTAAGTCCAAACTGAAGACACTACGACCCAGAGAGAAGCGGGGTCTCCCTCCCCTCCTATCTAAGCTCTGCCATTAGCACCCCTTTGGCCCAAATGACTGGCCCAGTGATTGACAGATGGGAATGTCCACACTCTTCATGCCTATCGGCGGGAGCTTAACTTTATCAGACTTCTGCAAGATAAGCTTATCAGAATACAACCCAGGAGGCCCAATCTCTGTATAAGGTAGGAGAGATTTTGTGGAGCCTCGAAATTGGCCTGTCGACAAATCTGCCTTTGTGAATCTGGCTAGTCCCTGCGGCCACTCAGCTTTGGCCACCCACGGACACCCTATGATGCTGGGGCTGAGTTCCAGACCACTCTTCCCAGGCACTCCCTGCCCACTGGCTTTCTTGTTGGTTCAGCCAAAGAAGGACTCCAGGAAGATGGGGAGGCCAGGAAGGAGCAAACCACAGAGGGATGATTCCTATCCCCACTTCCCTCTGGTATGGCTAGGACCAGCCTCACTGGTTCTTCAAGGACCTTCTACTGGTACTTCGAGGTATAATACCAGCTTTGCTTTACAGTACCACCTCATAGAGGTGCCACTAGGAGCTAGACCATGACCTTCAGTGGTCAGACCACAAGCTGTACCACACTCCACCCCCACCCTAGGTCCCCTCAACCATGGCAGTCCTGCCGGGTTGACGCCTCGCTCAGGGGTGTGAGCACCAGCTCCCTCGGGCCCCTCCTCGCCCAGGTGAACTCACCTCTTCTCTCTCATTCCCCCAGCCCCAGGGATGGTAGCTGCGCTTGCAATTACTAATTCTTGGGGTTATTTCAACTTTCCAGTTCCTGTGTAACTGGTCCTGTGTATTGAGTGCCATCTGTTTGAAACATCTAGTGTGGTTTTGTTTTCCTCGCTGGACAAGAATTTTCCTTGGAGATCCCAAATTTGAGTGTTCTGATAGTCATGATCAAGTCATAATCTGAACAACCTAGCACTTATTACGCATTTGAGAATATAAATGTTAACATTTACAGACTGAAAG